CTGGTTTGAATCAGCAGTAAACTGGATTAAACCAGCAGTAAACTGGTTTACCTGCAGAGTAAACTGGGTTAAATCAGCCTTAAACTGGTTTGAATCAGCAGTGAACTGGCTGAGGTGTGCAGGTGTTCCTATTATTTTGTCCACTGGCAGTAAAGTCAAACATGGCCTCCCTCCACCGCCTCCCCTTCTGACGGTCTCAGCCTGCTCCGGACTTCCCAGAATTCCCTGCCAGATGGTGGGCGGCGTCCTGGGATGAAGCCCCCCTCCTCACCCTCCGCTCTCCCCCCTCCTCACCCCCGTGGAGCTGTCATGTCAGCGTCCGGATGACGGATGACCGCTGAGACCGCGGCGAGGTGTGTGTGAGCAGCTCAGTTACTATATCTGTGAGGACTGACGGGGTGCTTCAGACGTTTCTGGGGGTCCAGACCCACTTTTGGGGTTCAGGTTTGGGTCAGGAGGGGGTTGGTTATACCAGCGAGTGTCCTCACAAAGACAGGACAGTGGTGTGTGTGTGTGTGTGTGTGTGTGTGTGTGGGTTTTGTAATACCCTGGTGGTTGTAAATGAACTCCACTAAAAGCATGTGTGTCCTCCTCCCCCCGTGTTCCTGCGATGACCTACCGACTACCTCATCCACCTTTATAGTCAAAACAGACCTCCGCCCTGCTGCACACACACACACACACGTGCGCACACACACACACGCACACCCCTGGGGGACAATACTTTTAGGATAACGACCGCTTCTGCATTATTGATCCCGATCCTGGCTCTGTTGGTCCGGATTAAAACGCTCCAGTTTGACCGGTAGGGACGTGGATGGTAAAACACACACACGCACACACACACACACACACACACACACACACACACACGCACACACACACACGCATGCGAGTCGTTGGTCGATATTTATACATCATCTTTCCTGATGCAAGCATCCCGGGTGTGTGTGACGGTGATTTGGCTTCGGTGCTCGTTTGAGGGTTAACGTTCTGCTGCCAGCTTCACAGCTCGGTTTGACCCACTTTGTGAGAACCTCCCTCAGACTTTTTCATATAAAAATGAGGACATTTTGGACACGTTTACAAACATTTCTGGGAAAATTGCAAAAACTTTGGGATAATTTCAAGACTTTTTTTTAAAAGACTGAAGACATGATCAAAAAGTGGTTTCACTTTTGTAGTTCTGGAGGAGTTTCTTGTTAGAAACCACTTTCTATAAATGTGAGGACTTTCAGAAAACGGTAACCCTTTATGGATCGCTGGGACTTTGAATTTCGAAGAATTTTGAAGAACGTTTTTTGCCAAGTTTTTGTAGATCAAATAAATTGAGTGAAAATGTCACAGAGCAACATCTCAAGTTCGTGTTTTACACTTTGAAGAATCCGAGATTTCTTTAAAATAAAAGAAGGGTTTCATTTTCCAACGTGGACAGTGAGGACAGATTTTGAGGAGAAATATTTACGGATGATAACTGTATTCATTTCAGTAATTTTAGCTCAATAAGTTCTGGTTGTGATTCATATTTTACATTTCTATAAATCTGGGGTATTAACTCAAAAAAAGAAAAAAAAGAGTATTTCTCTGGATTGTTGCAGTTTCGTGAAGGCAGAAAGAGATTTTGCTCATAAATATTTACAGATGGAGGTTGTGTTTTAGTCTAAGTTCTGGTCCGAGTTCATGTCTGACAGTTTTATAGCTCAGAGAACTTAAGAGAGAAGATTCGTCTCTGTTTTGTGAAGGCATGAAGGTTCAAGAAGGTAAAATATGAAGACAGACATTTTTATGAGAAATACGGCCATTGTTGTGTTTATTCCAATTATGTTTCCTTCTCACACCTTAAGACCATTTTCATAAATCAGTGATTTAAAGAAAGAGAGACTCGTCTGGGCTTTGTGAAAGCAGGAAAAGAGATTTCAGAAATAATTAGATGGAAATTGTTCTATTTATTGTTTTGTTTCAGCTTGTTAGGTTCTGGTTTGGGTTCATATTTTACATTTTTGTATTTTTCTGAGGTTTTTGCTTTTTTTTTTTTTTAAAGCCAGGATGTTTCAGAAGATAGACGTGAGCCAGGGTTTTACTCAGAAATATTTACAGATGGAAATAGTATTTACTTGAGCTGTCTTAGCTTGTTAAGTTCTGGTTTTTGTTCATAGATTTAAAAATCTGTGTTTTTCTGAGCACCTTTTAGAGGTTGAGGACAAAGACTTTGCTGATAAATGTAGTGTTGAAGTTATTTCAGCTCTCTAAGTTCTGGTTCTGGCTCGTATTTTGTAGAAGTTGGAGATTTTCTCAGGAATGTCTTCAGAACAGAACCGACCCCTGCAGCGTCCTCCCGCCGGCCTCCCTGTGTGATGTAAGTCGCTGTAGAGGAGTTGTTGTGGTGGCTGCAGTCCAATCTGCATTAATGCGGCTCCTCCTCGCTCTGACAATCCGTCGGCCGCGGGGCTCTAACCGGCGCTCGGCGGGGCTCCATCGATCCGCTGGGACTCCAGCCGACACGTCTGTCAGCTCCGACCGCCCACCGACGGGGTGTCATGTAGTGGGAGGTGGAGGTGGAGGAGGAGGTGTCAGGATTATTGTCTCCAGTGTGCCGTCGCTGTGCCACATTAGGGCCTATTGATCGGTTTGTTGGGAGCCGCTCGGAGCATCGATCGGTGACATGCCGACAGGCCGAGGGAGGGGACGCGACCGGGGGATGGATAAGTAGGAGGAGGAGCTGGAGGAGCTCCAACAGGTGTTTGGACATGATTCATCCGCCTCCTTCTGTCTCACCAGGTATTATTATTTACCACGTGACCACCGACATGACCCCAAATCAAACTCTTGTAGTTTCCAGGACATGTTTCTCTCTTTGGTTTCACCACCTGAACTCACAAAACACGTTTTCTCTAAAAATCACACCGATTATGAAACAGAAACAATCACCCTGTTGGATTTAAAGGTGTCACGTATACTTTGATCAGGAAAATTAATCCAATCTGATCTGAAGGCTGTGATATTTCATTAAAATCCCTTCATTCTAATGTAAAACTAAACTTTGCACCAGATTCTGTAAAAAGAAGAAGAAGAAAAAAAAAAGAAAGGAAAAAAAGAAAGCAAATAATCAACTGCACATGTTTAGTGCATACTGAGACCAGTCTAGGCTCCAGATAAACCAGTACGGTTCATGTGACGTACTGTATAGTTTAACCAGCTTAATCCACATATAAGTTGGCCAACCAGTTTACCACATTTGTAAATCAATGTCACGCCAGTTCACTGCACATTTAAACCAGCTTACTCTGCAGTTAAACCAGTTTACTGTGCTTGTAAACCAGCGAGTTTAACCCAGAGAAACCAGTTTACACATGAAGCAGATCACCTCACATGTAAACTGGCTCATGAACTCAAACGTCTTCCCTACAACAGAGCGCTCAGGTGGAACAGAGAGACTCGTTTTCACTGCAGTGGAAACAGAACAACCATGAAGAAGGAGACAGAACTCAGCTTTGTAGTACGTGGAGGGAAAAAATGAGCACAAAACAACAAATAACGACAATAAAAGGGACTGCAAAGAGACTAAACTGCCCCGAAGAGACACGAAATGAGACACAAAAAAAACAAAAACAAGACATACAATAAAGAAAGAGGAAAAGCGATGTCCTAAAAGACAAAATCCCACAATTTTGACATAAAATAACAACAAAAAAACCCGATAAAACAAAACACAGAATGACAGAGAGGAGATGAGTGGGTCACAAAGAGACAAAAGAACCAAAAACAAGTCAAAAAAATAGTAAAAATGAGGCACAACCGATAAAATGAACTGCAGAATAGTTGAAAATAAGTCTCCAACAAATACTCGTTAACGTTCATCTAATTAAGTCATATTACATTTACAGTTATCTGACAAGAAGAACTCACAGCTACATATTTTGTGCCATTTGTTGTTCTACAAAGGTATCAGGATGTTGTTTTTGATCAGTTAAAAACGCTTAAAAGATGAGTAACTTCAAAAACTTAAAGGCCTAAACAACACATTTTATTTAAAACCAGAGATTTTTGAGGTAAAATGAGTATTTGTTTTTTATTTCGCATGTAAAGATGTGAATCTGGATGACGTTTTCTGACTTTTATGAGATTAAATGATCAGTCAGTTAATCAAACTGTACATGAATCAGTAATATAATAATCACCTGGGAAACAAAGTGCCACATGTACACATTTTCATAGAACAAATCTGCATTTGTAGGGGATTTAAAGTGAATATTTTTTCACTTTCTCACTGTAAAGTTTCAGGTTTTGGTCCTCAGATGAGTGTTTTGGAGGCGAAGCGTCGAGGAACAGGAGGATTTGGAGGTCGGTCGGCAGGATCGCCTGGAATCTGGAAATATTTGGGGGTTTTTGTTGGCAGCGAGCGCATTCACAGGTTCAAATCCCACACGGGGGTTCTGAGTGAGTGAAAACCGGAAAAGTGGGAGGATGTGGAGTCAGCTGAAGAGCGAGTGGAAAGGAAAACACATCAGCGCTGCTTCAGGAAAGTAAGAAGGAGGAGGAATGTTCACGAAGGAGAATCTCCGAGTTAGAGGAGGGTTTACAGTTTGAGTTAGCAGAAGGTTTGGGGAGAGAGTTTTTTATGATGGGGCGAGTTTCTGTAACGTTCAGGGTTCAGAGAAAGTTTGTGGTTTCAGGGGGAGTCAGACTATCTGCCAGGAAACCAGAGCAGAACCTGCACCGGAGCCAAGAAATCAAAGTGTTTTTGACGTTTCTGTCAGAGATGAATCACGTTAATCAGCTGTTGTGGAGACGTTGGAAGGTACATCGCTGATGGAAGTTAAGCTAACAGCTGGATCCTCATATTTACTTTAAAGATGTTGCTTTAAATCCACAAATGTTAAAACCAATGGAATAAAAAAAAACATAATAATTACAGGCTTTGTAATTAATTAATCTCCATGAATCGCATTTTAATCGCGATGTTTGAAACAATAAACAAAGTCTTTCAATTCCAATAAATGTTGGTTGACGACTGAACCAGTGAACAACGTATACGTGAACCTAAACAACAAACATGTTTGTTTTTCATCCATATTTATCTGCATTCTTCATCTGTTAGTGCAAACTAAAGTGCAGTTATAGCCTGACCAGGGGTCTGTACCACGAAGCAGGATCTGGGCTTAGCAAGGTAGCTTCAGGTTAAATCCTGGATTGACTTCCTGAGTTGATAACCACCGTCGTAGGACCGGTTATCCTGAGTGGGTTGTTGGGGTTAGTCAAGCCGGATCTCTGAAACATATCCTGGGTTTGTTGATCCCGCTTCGTACTACCTGGACTGTCGTAGCTAACGTTAGCTCTGCTCGCAGCAACACGTTCTGCATTGAGGTGAGACTCTATGCACACAGCCACGCTCTCATCGCGAAAAAAATAAACTTTCTGCCCAAACAAGGCTCAGAACAACGAGCAACGTCTTTAGGTCTCACCTCCCACCTGGTCAAACACAAAACATCTGACTCGCTGAACATCTTCTTATCGATAGACACTACGGTTTACTGATGTTCCCTGAATGCCCCACGTTGCTCAGACAGGTGGAGGCAAACTGTGGCGTTCTGATGTCACATTCGTCTAAGATGAAACCAAGGGATGTTTTTCTACATGCGCTCCGTTTTTCAGGGGAAACCTGCATTTTTAAGCATAAATGCACTGAAGCTATACGACTACGTTGACTAGCAGAGCAGCTGCCTGGCTCACAGCGCCACCACCAGCTTCAGGACCACCGTTCACTCGCTCCACTGCCACCGGTTGAGATTTTAACGCGCCCAACAAGCCGAGAATCTGGTGCTGCCCTCGCCTTCCAACACCGTTCAAACTGTCCCATGCACTCAATGCGTCTTCTTCTCTTGTTCTGGCTAAATAAACCTTCGGTGATTTAGCGCCACCTAGCGGCTGGAGTGTTACTGTGTCAGAAATGAGGGAACTGAGAACGGTGTGAGCAAATTGTGTTCTTTTTTTTCTATTTTAATTAATCTAAATCAACGCGTCCCCGCCCAGGTTCAAACATGGATGAATCATGTAGATGATGGAAATGTCTCAACTATGATGTCAAACTGTTTTATTCACTAAACTGTTCCCATAAAGTGCAGCTACATGCGCTGTGTTGTGTTTAAATACTGCCAGCCGCATGCAGCAAAAACAGATAACTCCATTTATGTTGATTTTTAGAAAACTTGGATTGTTTGTTACTTGCTTGAGATGATATCACTCAGACTGAAGCTGAGTGGATCTGACTCAGTAGAAATCCATCCATCCATTATCTATATGTTGTATTGTGTGAACTGTACCTGGCAATAAATCTGATTCTGATTCTGAATTCAAGATGATTTTTCATTAACCAACTCCTGGTCTGAAAACAACCAAAAATTACCAAACTACAGAGAAGCAACCAGCACAAATGACGGACAAATAAAAAAATCTGTGACTCTATGAATGGAAATGTGTTCTTCTACAACGCCTGATGGTAAAACTGCAAAACGTGTTGAAAACCTGCGTGTACTGAGGATTAAAAACCTTTTTCTGAGATGCTATTTTACAGATTGTTTTCTGTTTCGTTAAATCGGTAAGTAAATGAATAAAGTAATAGGAGCGGTATTTTTAGATCTTAAAAAGTCCTTCGAAATGGTTAGTCACAGCCTGCTTTTATCTAAAATGTCATCCTTTAACATCTCTCCCGAGGCAGTGGGCTGGTTTGCATCTTCAGGACAGAGAGCAGTGTGTTAAAATAGCTCAGGAGAAGTCCTCATTTCTAAACATTAAAAGGGGCATACCTCAGGGCTCGATACTGGGACCCTTGCCTCTTTATAAATGATTTACCTGCTACCTGCAACGGTGCCAATTGCCAACTTTATGCGGATGATGCAGTTTTGTATGCACCTGTCACCGGAGCAGGCAGCTAATATTTTGTCTACATGTATGGCTGAGGTGAGTGAATGGCTCAATTAAAACTAGTTGGTGCTAAATATAACCAAAACAGCGTCAATGTGCTTCTCTATTAGAAAACAAAATGTGGAACAAGGTTTCCAAATAAATTTGCAAAATCAAAGTATTCAATCTGTAACCGAATTTAAATACCTCGGGCTGGTCCTTGACCCCCAATTAAAATTTGATAATCATGTTAAGAAAATCTCTATTAATCAGATCGTATATCCCAAAACAGGCCGCCCTCCTGCATGCTATGATATTCTCTCACATATCATACTGCATGACAGCATGGGCCAGGCCACCCCCTCAGCCACAAAGCATATTGCTTCACTCTACAACCAAACAATAAAAGTTACGGACAGAGAGTCAATCCGGTATCACCACTGTCACATGCTTGAAAAGTATAAGCTGCTAAGTTTTGAAAGCTTTAGCAGTTTATGGTTTCTCAGATTGTTATTTAAATGTGTGACAAAACAGCAACAGAGTCACCAGAGGTTCCACAAATCAGAACTGTGTGGTTCCACGCTGTAGGACTGCATTTGGTCAATCCACCTTTTCATTTAAAAGTACAAAGTTGTGGAATTCTTTGCCGAATGAACTCAAGACCATATCTGAGTTTAAAATGTTCACCTTGAGACTAAAGACTTGGCTTTAATGCAACCAAACCTGCACCCACTTGTAAATAGCACTGAGAGAGTGAATGACGGAGAGAATGAAGGAGCGAGTGCATAGATTTAAAATTTTAGTATGTTGTAGATGATTGGTGTGTGTGAGACTGAAAGGAAATGTTTTAACTCAAGGTGAACGTATGAGCGAGTGAATGTGGTGGACACATGAAAGAATGAGTGAATGACAAATGCAGTTAGTTTTGTTAATTTTAGAAATGTAAAGAACGTCCACATCAAAGTTCTGGATTTTTACTGTATTTAAATTTGAAAAAAAAGTTGATATTTATACTTTATTCAAATCAAGTCAGTTTTATTTAAATAGCTCAATTTACAACATCTGCCAAAGGACAAATGTAAAAACGGTACATCATTTTCTAAGCTGCTATTTTAGAGATTTTACCAGTTCTGTTAAATGACAGATAGTATGGAGTACTAAAAAAAATAGGAATGTATTTGTTCAACAAAAACAGTTGATGACCTTTTACAACATCAGTTAAAATGATGCAGTTTTTACTGTATTATAATCAGAAAAAAATGCTGTTATTTGAAAGAAAAATTACAGAAATAATAATAATTTTACCTGCTTGGATAAATTACAGATAATATGTGGTGAAATTACCACATATTATCTGTAGGTATAAGTATACACAGAAAATACCAAAACTGTGAATAATGTCCACATGAAGGATGTGTAGTTTTACCAATAACAAACTGCTCTACAATGTGTGACCAGTTTGACTGTTTTACTGTATTTCAGGCAATTAAAAATGTCTTTGTTTTACAGACATGTGCTGTTATTTTTGCTGTTTTTGAACTTTACAGTATTTTTTCTGTGATTTATGGGATTTTTTTAATCCTGTGTATTGTTTGCTTGCTTGGCTGTTATTTCCCACCTCACTGCTGGGAACAAACCAAAAGAGGAGAAAGATCTTAAAGGGTTGAAGCACATTGTTCTGTCTGAAGCTGCTGAAACACACCATCCTGTAGACTTGAGCCTCGCTCAGCGATTAAACGTGTTTGTGCAGCGTCTCACCTGTTTGGTCATGGAGTCTATCAGCCGGACGTAAAGGTCCTGTTCTGTCCTGATGCCTGAAAGACACACAGACACTAATGAGCAGCAGACATCGACAACGACACACACATAAGACACAAACGTGCACCGCCGACGTACATGTATGTATTAGCCTCCTATGCTAATGCGATCCCAGCACCAGAATCCCTCCCAACAAAGGAACTGATTCCTAATAATGTGCTGTAATGAATTCTGGTATTATTTATGTCCCGCTTGTGTATTTATGTTTTTTGTAGCTCTTGTCGTCTCGCTATGCTAACCCCCCTCAGCAAAAACAAACATTAGCGCTCCAGAGCTGTTTATTATTTATAGGCCGCGCCGCCTTTAACTGCCGAGCGCCTCCACGGCCCCCCCACCGCCTTTTTCCTCAAGGATAACAAGGAATCCTCATTCTCCGACAAATTAAATATCAATCAGGACGCCTTGTCTTTTATTAGCCATGCATCTGAGCGTAAATGTGACACGAACACGACATGGGGTGGAGGCAGCAAATTGCAGGGAACACCTGTTAGCGGCGCACTAGCTCTAATTGCGTTTTTTTCTCCGTCTTGTTTTTCGGGCCGTTTCCTCGCAGCTTCCTCTGCTTTCTAATTGACATGATTCACTCCTCGCTCGGCGGCTGAGTACTGAGCCTAAATGGCGGCTATCCGTCCTAGTTGCAGATGAGGTCAATTACCTCCGTACGATGCTAATCCGCCGCCGCCGCCTCATATTAGAGTGATTTATCCCCCTTTGGAAGAAAACGCTCTTTTATGTCCCACTTTATCTGGAGCTTCTGCAGGGGTCTGAGAGCATTACGGCTGGACTCGGGCCAGCGCAAAGCCGAGCTGTGTGTTTCCAATCAGCTCGAGATCCCTCCACTTTCCCCTCTGATGGACAAACCAGAGTCCACGTTGGGCTGCCACATATTCCAGATGTGAGCATCGCCGCTCGGCCTCGCTCAAAAACTTTTTCCAGCCTTAAAAAAAGTTAAACTGCGAGGCCAGCGAGGTGACCTTTAATATGAATTTCTTCTAAATCGTCATCCAGGAAAGTTCAAACCGACACGGACAGCTGTACCTGTGGGAAAGAGCGATCAGTAACTCGACTTCATCAATCAATACGACAGATCGAAAACCCAGCCGGAGCAAAGACGCACCTGACCTGCAGTCACCAGTTAGACTCTAGTCTAAATGTACTAAACGTACTGACAGGATTTCTGCTCATTGTGTGACGTTCAGACCTTTATCCTGCAGAAAGCGCTCCAGCCGGAGTAAACTTTGTCTTCTTTACTAGTTAAAATGAAGGAAACTGGTGGAAATATTGCCAATATTTCTATTTATCTACATTTACTGACAGCTTTTCTGGTTATCAGTGCAGAAAGTGAACAATCTGCAGCCTTAAAACCAGAGCAAACTTGTTTTTTGGTGTTTTAAATTTGGTTTTGTTTTTGTTTTGTTTTTGAATATTGTCAATATTTACACTTTGTGACTTTTTTTTTTTTTTTTGCCCCGATTACTCATCAGGAAAAATGTAAATCATAAACATGCTGTCTATATTTTTACTGATATATTTTTCAGTTTTTGAATGCAGGTGCTGTGACACTTTGGCTTCTTTTCGGCAGGAAGAGAAACAGCAGTCAGAGGAAAGCCCTTTTCTTTAACTTTCTGTTCTTCATTACATGTTTGTCGTCAGCTAACGCCAGCTGGAGCAGCGCGACATCTTTCTGAAGTCAGATTAAGTTTAATAATCTGCTCTGACGCATCTAACAGACAAACAACCTGCAAACACTGAACAAGGAGCACAAACATCTCCACCAAATAGGACATCAGGTGCTGTCACAGCGGCTAAGGCTACGCTAACGGCTAAATGAGGACGTAGCCACAGATTAACCTGAAACAGAGTCTGGAAAACACTCACAATGATTTCAAATCTGGACCTTAGTTGGCAATAAAAGTGACAGACGAGAGAAAGAAGACGATGGATCGATCAGCGACCAGAAGAGAGCGTCCTGACATCACATGACATCATTACTTCAGTTCTTATGGTACATGTACAGCTACAGTAACCTCTATTAATGAAGCAGCATGGTCTGTTCATACAGTAATCAGTCTCCTTGGGTTATTAATAATCGTTAGAAACCCATATTGATCAATCGCTACATGCAGGTTGCTCACTACTTCCTCAATCAAAACATGATGGTCACAGTTTGTCAGAAGTGGAAGCTTTCAGTGACTCCGACCACATCAGGAAACTGTAGTTTTTGCTGCTGAAACGTCGACGTTTGCGGTAAAACCTCGACCTGTGGCTGCAGCATCGTCACCCCTTAACTCAGAGGTTCTCAAACTGTTTGAGCCACGACCCCCAAGATAACATCAGTTTGTGTCCATGACGCCCCAGTTTGAATTTTTAATCTCTCATGAGTAATAACTTTGTTGTTCATGCGTTAAAAATTAACGTGTTAACTCCACAGATTGATCTCTTTACATTAACACGTTCATTTTCTTGAATGAATAAATTGAATTTATTTCAAACAAATGAAAGAGGAAAAAAATGAAAAAACAAAAGAAAATCATTTTAAAAACAGCTTTAAAAAAGAATAATAACGTCACACAATCTAATCATATTAACAAGTTCAAAAAAGGAGCGGCAGGAAGTAAACACTTTAAATGTTGACAACCCTAGTAAAGATTGTTTTGAAATAAAAAAAATAAAAATGAAAAAAAATTTTTTTTAAAAATTAATTAAAATGAATAAAAAATAAAAATAATAAAATAAAGAAAGAAAGAATTACAAAATAATTTTAAAAAATTAAAAGTATTATTAGTATTTTATTTATTTGTCTTTATAGTTCTACTTTTATTCGTCTTTTATGGATTCATTTTTAATAATTTAAGATTGCCTCATATTGCCACATTATTTATTTTTATTTTATTTATTCTTCTTTTTATTTCCACTTTTATTTTATTATTCTTTTATTGATTTATTTTTGTAATTTGGCGCTCTCACTTCTCTGTACAGTTTCAAGGCTTTTTTGTAATAAAAACGGGGGAAGTTGGATGTTTAAGTGTTGAACAGTTTTCTGGTTCTGCTTTGAGACAAAACAAATGTGTTGCCTGAAGAACAAAAGCAGAAACTGCAGGAAAACCTTTACATGAAGCGCATGTGAGTGGTATAAACTAAACAGCTGATTTAGTCTTTATTCTAATCAGACGTCTGGAGGGAGACGCTGCTTCCTGAGCCGACCTCCTGCTCTTATCGTATACTACCAGAGTTTAGTTTCCTGTGAACTCACCGTTGCTGTAGAGCAGCTGTAGCCTGTAGTGGATCCCGTTGTTGGTCTTCTCTCCGTTGTACTCCTGTCACACAAACACATGAATCACACTTTAAGCAGCGACTCACTGACACGTGATAAAACATTTACAGCTTCCAGCGGCGATGCTGCGACCCACTGATTCTTTACGGGCCCGAAGCTGCGAGTAGCAACGACAAAAACAGGAATTATTCACACTTTGCAGGCTTCCCGGTGCTCGGTTCGAGTCTTTTGTTGCCTGCAGACGAACTCTTTACTGTGGAAGCAGCTAATAAAGGCAAACAGACATGTCAGGTAGAAGCTCAGAGAAATGGGTCAAACTGTGGCTTAACTAAGTCAGGATTACATTCACATGATATTTAAGTCAGACTTATGACATCCAGATGTTTTGCTCAGGTCTCTTTGTATTTCTTTCGTGTCTCTTTTTGGTCACTTTGTGCATATTTTTGTTAATTTTGCATCTATATTTTGTCTCGTTGTGCTGCTATTGCTCTTTGGGCTCAGTTTGTGTATCTGTTGTAGTTTTTGTGTGTCTGTGTTCATTTTACGTCTCCTTTTTGTTGGTACACCTCATTTTGAGTTTCTTTCCTGTCTCTTTGCATCTCTTTGTTCATATTTTGTGTCTCTTTCTGGCCATCTCGTGTGCATTTTTGTTCATTTTTAATTTTGAGTTCATTTTTTCTCTTTTTTTTTTTTCCAGCTCATTTTCTGTCGCCTGGTGATTATTTTGCATGCATTTGTGTTAGTTTTGCATCTACATTTGTTGGTTTGCGTCTCTTTTGTACCGATTTTGTTGGTTCTGTTTCTTCTGTCATAGATTGGTTACCTGTCCAGGTGAACCTGCATTCACCCTGAGTCAGCTGGGATAGACTCCGCCCCCCACGACCCTAGTGAGGATTAAGGTGTAGAGATGATGGATGGATGTTTCTTCTGCTTTTCTTTGCTGCAGGTTTGCATGTGTTAATTTAACTTTTTGTCGGTTTGAGATTATTTTGCATCTCCTTTGTGTCTGTTTGCATCTTATTGTTGTTGTTTTGTGTCACTTTGTGGCCAGTGTGTGCATTTTTGTGTATTGTGTGTCTACCTTTTGTCGGTTTAATCTCTTTGTGCTGTCATCTCGTTCCTCGTGTCTCTTTGGGGTCTGCTTTCTGTGTGTTTCTGCACTTATCTTTTCCCTGTTTGGTCATTTTGTGGTCTCTTTTCTTTCAGCTCAGTTTGTGTCTCTTTGTGGTCGGTTGTGTTCATTTTGCACGTCCTTTACAGCCAGCGAGGCTGTAAACTGCTGCGTGTTTGGCTTTAGAAGCTTGTTAAATCACCCATTGTGTCTTCAAAAAGCAGCTCAATGTAGAGGAGTGGAAGGAGAAAGCAGCTTAAAACAGAAATACATTAAATGTGTAGTTGAGTATATGTGTCGTTATTTTACTGCTGAAGATAAAAGTGGTTGAAATTGTAATTTTGGAGACAAAAACGGACCAAAAATATTTAGACATTCAGGTTTTTGCTTTCCATTATGACTTCTTGGACTTGAAAAGTAAACATGCTGACCTCTTGTTATTTCAATTTACTTCTTTTTTAAACACACCTGAACTCATTTTTGGCCTCATTCTACAAACACTTTGAATTCAAAACCAAAAACTTTAGTAAAAAAAAAAAAAACACTTCCCATCTCATATAGTGGCACCTTGGAGATAAACTGACATTTAAAATCCTAAAAATAAATGGATGTGTTGTTGTTAGGATCAGGGCTGATGTTGGTTAAAAGATTTAGTCAATAAAAGTGGAAAATAATGTTTATATTTAACATCTGTATCGGGGTATTTTAACTTAAGTTTAAAGAAAACTTCCTGTTTGGAGTCTCATACAGATCAAACTGAAGCTGCTGTTCTTATCTCTTTGCAGCGACAGTAAACGCCCCTTTGGACTGTTTATTTGCGATTAGCTTTGGCTGAACCGTGGACTCGGTCCGGAGCAGAGACTCTTCATCCTCCATCACCTCGTCTTTTTCCTCTCTCTTGACCTTTCCTCCCCTGTTCTCCTGCTCTCTCTCTCTCTCTCTCTCTCTCTCTCTCTCTTTCAACCTTTATTCCCCTCTCCGTCGCCTCCTCTTCCTCTTCCAGGCTGCCGGGCGGCGGCTCGCTCGCTGCCAACTGTGCCTGGGAGTGTTGGCTCGGCCCCAGTGCGTTTGTGTTGGGGATCGGGGCGAGAGACTAGAGGTCAAAGCAGAGGTGAGGTGAGCGAGTGGGCGGCGGGGAGGACTCGGTGCCAGCTGGCAGCCGATCAGAGAACAAACACCCCCGAACCTGTCTGTGATTATCATTAGTGTTATTAGGAGGAGAGCTTTCAGAGGCTTTCTGTCAACAGATCTCAGAGCAGAATCGACGCGAACACATTCTGAGACGGAAATCTTTAAAAACATCAGTTTAAACCTTTTCTACTCATACTTAGTGGAAGAATGTCTATATATTAAAGGTTTGGAGTCAATTCTTCTTCTTGCTTTCGGCTTAATTGGACTGGACAGGAGAGCAGAAAGAAGAGTGGGGCAGGACCATGGGCTGGATCCAAACCCGGTTTATGGGGCGCCCGGTAGCTCAACCAGTTGAGCTGCCCCAGTGGGCGCCCAGTTTGGAGTCAATTCTGATCCTCTGTGTGCAGCTCACTGGACACTGGAGCTCCACCAGTAGACCAGTCAGAAAGTAAAAACTGTCATTTAATCTACTTGTTTTATTTTATACGCTGCTGGCGACACAACGTTTAAATTTGAAACGAAAAATGTCAGTTTTCAAATATTTTCTTCATTCCATGCTTCTGTTTCTTAATTTTAGGTAAAAACATTACTTAGAAACTATTTATTTATTGTTTACATACAAAAAAATAAACTTAACATAAAATTACTTAATTTTAAGTTCACATATAATTGCTTTTTTGAAGTCACATAACACTGAAAAATGAACTTTGTTTTTCCTTCTAACTACACTGTTGCCCATAAAGTTGGAGTAAAACATATATTTTTAATCTCTTCTGATGAAATTTAAAAATGCACTGATATCACAATATACATCCAATACACATCAATACACATTAAACCACAGGTAACTTTAACAAACTGTGTGATCAGGCTGAAACTAAACAGGAGGGATTGACCAACAGGATGAAGGGTTTGGTTTCAGTTTTTCAGCCTCGGTCCCTTTAACAGGAAACACATATCTGAGGAGATTCCATGCATCAGAATGTCCAGTATTACTCTTTAAATGTCCCTCAGTCACTAGGACTGAGTCTGGCCCCCTGACACGGATCAATGTGTTCAGACGTGGTGGCGTTCTGTCCACCAGCTGGTTGATGGAGTCAGTGGGCAGGACGTCCCACTCTGAAGTCAGAACTGGTTCCACCTGCTAACTGGGACTCAGGATGTGATCATTGCAGCTGGTCACAGTGATGACTGACGTGTAGAAATAGAAATAAAAAGAGGAATGTGTCTGAAAACAAACATTATTCCAACTTTATGGCCGATGGTGTGTGTGAGCGTGTTAATTCTAGAAATTGTGACTTTGAATGTCAAAATTTTGACCTTACGATTGAAACTATTTATTTATTATTTATATACAAAAAAATCGTCATGTGACATTCAAAATTCAAACATTTTTCAAACTAGACTTTTGTCATTACAAAATGACTGATGTTGGTCAAAGATGTACTCAGTGAAAGTGGAAAATAACAATAAAATCTAATATTTTTACTAATTTTTTGTGTTTTTTGAGGTCCTGGATGTGCATTTTCCTTTTTTTATTCAGACAATGAATGAAGGAAAAATGGTTTAGAACCTGATTCTGTTTATTCAACTAGAACGTAGTTAATGAAGAACGTGTCTCCGGTATTTCTAAATTGTTTTGAAGTGTCATCAGAAGAACCAAACGGTGTCACCTTGTCTTTCTCCACAAAGTCCACGTAGGAGGTCCTCTCGATCTCCACCGGCTGACCCTGGCGGTCGTACAGCGCCAGGACAAAGTGGAAGAAGTTGGACTTCCTCAGGTTGGAGGGCGGCTGCTTCTCAAAGTGAGCACGGGCCAAACCAACCCCGCTTTAGAAAGAAAAACAGAAAGAAACAGCATTTAATCGACTAAAAAGTGCACCTTTTCACCTGGAACAGGCAGATATAGATTACAGAAGGTCATGCGATAAAGACACGACTGATCAAACTGGATGATTAGAGCGAAAAACTATTCAGGTGACTAAAAAGAACTGCTGAAAATTTTTCTCCAAATGCACATCTCTTAAACAAAACCCACAACAACTACAGAAACACAAGTCAAAACTGAGGTGAGTCTTCCTACTGTCAGAGAGGACGAGGAGGACAAAGGGTTGAGATGAAGAGGAGGAGGATGAAGGGTTGAGATGAAGAAGAGGAGAAGGATGAAGGTAAACAGGATGATGAAGGGCAAGGAGGAGATGGAAGTGAGAGGGGAGGAAGACGAGGAAAAGGTAAAGAATCAGAAGGACGAAGACGAGGAGGGTGAGGAGCGGGAAGAGAAATGAGAGGAGAAGGATGGAGGTGAAGAGGAGAAGGTAAAGACAAGGGATGAAGAAGAGGAGGACAAGGAGAAGGACAGAAATAAGGAGGAGACAGAAAGAAGAAAGACGAAAAGGAGGATAAAGACAATGAGGTCTAGGAGAAGGATGGCGATGTGGAGGAGATGGATGAGGACAAAGATGGCAGTAAGGAGGACAATGAGGAGGACAATGAACATGAGGAGGATAAAAATTAGGATGAAAAGGAGGACGAAGACAATTAGGACAAGGAAAAGGAAGCAGGTGAAGAGGAGATAAAGGAGGACAAACATGAGGAGGAGAAGAACAAGCATGATGACAAGGAGAAAGATAAAAACAAGGAAGATGACAAATATGAAGACAAGGAAGAAAAGGAGATGACTGAAGGTAAGGAGGAGGTTGAGGAGTACGGAGACAAGGAGGGTGAGGAGAAGGAAGAGGAGAAGGACCAAGGATGGAGAGGACGTAGACGAGGAGCAGGATGAAGATGAAAACAGGACTAAGATGACGAGGAGATAAAGACAAAGACCGACACTGGGAGGAGGAGGAGGATGAAGAAGAGAAGGATGACGCTGAAGGTCCGCTCAGAGGAATAAAGGATCTGAGTTTATCTACTGACTGTGAAGCCTCATTAAAACTGGACTGAATCTCATTTTCATTCCTACGAGAACTAACTTGTCTTTACATGAACCCTGATCAATTATTAGCTTAATTATTACGAGCTAGTTGGAGATTCACTCTGCAGGAATTAATTCTCCTGGACCAACAGATTTCATAATGAAGCTGGAGAGCAGCAGATGTACAAACTGCTGCTGTGATCACTTTAAAGCATTAAAGAGGAGTTCCTCAGGGTTCCGTGTTCGGCCCATTACTAATCATTAAATATGTTTCTATACAAGTGATTCAACAGGTTTTTTGGGGTTTTTTTGTTTTTTTTTTTTGGTGTTGTGAGAATTTGAAATATGTTTTGGATATTTTAGAGAACAAAACTTAAGCATCTGAAGACTTACAGTCATAAGAAATTTAAAATTTACACTAAAATAAATAAATGACACTGAAACAGACAAAAGTCTCTGAAATCACACAAACCAGATTCAAACAATGACAAAGCAAAAACATTGAACCTAAATCTCTTTATAGTCATGTTGCATTTCTGCTATCGTTTGCAGTGTTTTACGGTTGTTTTGCATCTCCTGATGCTCATTTTGCTGCTTTGTAATCATCCCCCTTTCTGTAGACTTAGCGTAGTTGTTTATTTAGTTTAGTTATTAATTCTTTGGATTTCTTAGGTTGTCCCTCAGCTCTTGTCCCCAGTTTTTGTAGCTTTGTTCTCTTTTTGAATTCAGTCTGATTTAGTTTTCCCCATCAGGTTAGTTTCCACATCTCAGTTTCAATTCAGTTTGATTCCTTGTTTAATAAGTCTTTTTGAACACCTGATCCCCCACCGTGACCGTTATTTTGCACCTTTTTGCAGCATCCTGTTTGGAGTAATTCTGTGTTTTAAGCAGTCTTCAACTCTATGCGGTGATTTTGCACGTTGTGTGTTTTTTTTGTTTGTTTTTTTTGCATCTCTTTGTAGTAATTTTACATCTTTGTGGAGTCAATTTGCATCCCGGTTCCTCGACATCCCAAAGATCTTCAGTTTATTGTCACTAAGCAGGAAAGAAGCTGCAGTCAGAATCTAAACTTCTGCCTTAAACTGCTCACAGTGATTAATCAAATGGTTGACGAGTGATCGATAAACTCTGAGGAGAAGCTCTCCAGCGCTACAGATGAACGGGAAGTCTTTCTATCATACAAGTAGAAAGCAAACGTTCAACTTCAAGCGAGCCGCTTGAGTGGTACATTTCTTTTTAAAGAACAAAGTTAATTTTTTTTTTTTTTACTACTTCCAATGTAAAAACTGAAACAAAGAAAAGGCTGAAATCAATAATGGGAACGTTTTCTGTTTCAGATAAAATAAATAATTACTGAGTGGAGGTCAGAGTTCGTCCAGCTTCTGATTTACCGCCGTGTTACTGTCTGAAAATGAGCCCTGACACTTCATCAGAGTGAGAGAACATCAGTGAGTCGGTGTCGGCGGCTGATTTTTAGTAAAAATGGATAAAAATCCTGGTTGATCCTGAAATAAAATCGATGCTCCTGCAGGAAGCGACCTCTGCTCTCAGCCCAGAGAAGCTCAGAGCGTCCGAGGGGGAAACGCTCCAAACAGCGGCCGAATATTTTTACATCAATCTCATTTCCCTGCTCGCTTTGTTTCCTAAAACGCTTTATGATCAATATGATCGCCGAGGCACGGACAAATATTTATTCATGCTCAGGGTTTGTTTTTGGAAACCTGCCTGCTCTGCGTCGGTCTCGCAGCTCGGCGGCTCAGGGGTGTATTCCCCAGACGGCAGATTAATACAGCCGTGACCTTTCTGCACCTCCATTACCAATGCTTAATGCCTCATTTGTAGGCCAGTTTGTTGAAAGCTAATTCTTCCGACTGCACTGTTTGGCCGGCGGAGCGGAGAGTCTGCGGAGGAGCTGCAGGAGGAGGAGCTCAGGTGTGCGTCGCTCAGGTTGTTTCAAACGGCGGCTCACCGGGAACAAAAGCAGCCGAAAACACGATAAAGTAAAAATAACGGCGAGAGGAATCGCAGCAGCAGAGACGTCAACACTTTCCACCGCAGATATTCTCAATGACTTCCAGCGTGAGGAGGAAAAAAAAACGAGCTCCACGAGCATCTGTTTTTATCCACGTTTCTATTTTCATACACCTGATGCACCAACGCACCATTCACAGGAAGTCATAACACACAGTCTGCACACACACACGATCCAGACCTCGTTATGTTCACCTCAGATACGCATCAGAGTGGGTCAAAGGAACATTTATTCTATAACGACTTTAACATTAAGTAACAGTTAAATTGGAAATGACCAACGCACTGGTTTAAGGGTCTCAGATGTGAGGATGTGTGTCTGCAGTCGTTGTGCGTCGTTATGAACACAATCTGCATCTTTTTGCAGCTGTGTGTGTCTTTTTGTAATTGTTTGGAGTTTAGCATCTTATATTAAGTAATTTTGCAGTTGTTTTGCAGCCATTTGTGGTTTTCCATTTTGTTTTTGCATTTCGTCGTAGTCATTTTGCAACTTTTTGCATCTGTTTGCAGGTGTTTTGCTTCAGTTTGGAGTCATTTTGCATCTTTTTACAGTTGTTTTGCATCTCTTGGTAGTTATTTTGCATCTAGTTGCTGTTTTGTTTTTTGTTTCATCGTTTTGTGTCTTTTTCTGGTTGCTTTTCACCTCTTTGTAGTTTTTTTTTTTTTTTTTTTTTGCATCTCTTTGCAGTTGTGTTGCATCGTTTTTTACTTGGTCTCTTAGTTTTCAGCTTCCCTGGGGTCTTTGAATGTAGCTCCATCAGGTAAAACAACCAAATCTGAGCTTTTCATCAATAATCGATTAATTCTACACGTCCTTTAAAAATTAGACAAAAAACCCAAAACGTTTCCCCTCCTGGTTCCAACTGATTCTCAACGACTGACTCAGAAAAATTCAGATTGACTCAAGCCAGTGTTTCCTCAGAGAGACTGAGAGGAAAATCCAACCTACTGGACCAATGAATAAATGCAACATGGATCAGAACCAGAGAGCAGAGGAGCCAGTTGTTGGAGATACATTCAGTATGATGGAACATCTTTCTACTGATGGTGGAAGATCTTTCTACAGCTGATGGTGGAACATCTTTCTACTGATGGTGGAACATCTTTCTACAGCTGATGGTGGAACATCTTTCTACTGATGGTGGAACATCTTTCTACTGCTGATGGTGGAACATCTTTCTACTGATGGTGGAACATCTTTCTACAGCTGATGAGCAGAGAGGAAAAGTCTGGAGACATGGAGATAGTTAAACGTCGACAGAATGTGGAGACTCCTTTTTTTTTTTTTTTTTTTACAGTGTTTATAACTATTTGGAAAAGTGTTGATTCCAGGATTTTCCATTTTTTGGAAAACAATTTGATTTTCAGTTTTTTTGTGATTTGTGTCAGATGAACTATGTGCTACTGACAGCAGACATCATCTCTCCTTCCTCGTGGTTGTTCTGTTTCCATAGAGGTGCAGGACTTTATCCCGTAAAAAAAAATGGTTCAGAAGGTTAAGTCAGAAAAATAAAATCAGATTTTTTGCAATAAGACATCTATCAGCAGCTTAAATATGAAGCCTGCAGAACAGTCGTTTAGGGTCGGTATTAAGGGAAATTTAAAAAAGAAAAGGCTGATCTAAATTCTAAAGCTGTCAAAAAAAACCCAACCCGACGGTGAATCTGGCACCTGTTTCATCCTGAACGCCATCAAAAGCATCACTTCCTCCACCAAATCAGCCCATTATCCTAATTACGCTGCGTCCAGACAGCCGATCGCCTCGGCGACGCTCACCCTCTCCTCTCTGCTCTGCCTCCACTCAGAAAGCTCGTTAGCATTATTATTATTTCAATTATGCTAATTGCGGCGGCATCCACTCGTCACCGCCGCTCGTATCCGGCTG